GCAAAGCACAAGTGTGTGGAGTCTTGCTGATATTTTAATTTCAATGTTAGACATTTTAAAGATTTCTTGTGCTGATTTATTTCCTATTTATTAAGGGGCCAAAGCAGGTTAATGTTCAAGTTTAAATTTGTTTATTTAACCCTGTTCACAATAAACAGGTCAGTTTCTCATATCAACTGTTGTGGATCATTCTAACTAACCTGATTAAGTAGTTGTTCTTGTTAGAGTAATATTGCTTGATCAAACCTTTTCTAACATGACTGACAACAAAATAAGTGAATATGTATAATACGCGCTTGGATCGGATTGGTATTGGTATCGGCCAAAACTCAAGGCTGTAATATCGGTATCGGATCGGAAGTGAAAAAGCTGGATTGGGACATCCCTAGCTACAACAGTGTGGTTGAAGAGCAGTTAACCCTCTGAGACCACATACTGTAGACCATTTCTGTCTCTTTTTGGAGGGAACAGAGGATCTTTTGGGGGAGACAGCAGGTCAACAGTATATGCCACATAGAAGTGGTATATATCACCTAAAAGCGGGAAACCTTAAGATCAATCAATTCAATCAATTTTATTTATAAAGCCCAATATCACAAATCACAGTTTGCCTCACAGGGCTTTACAGCATACGACATCCCTCTGTCCTTATGACCCTCGCAGCGGATAAGGAAAAACTCCCCCCAAAAAAACCTTTAACGGGGGAAAACAATGGTAGAAACCTCAGGAAGAGCAACTGAGGAGGGATCCCTCTTCCAGGACGGATAGACGTGCAATAGATGTCGTACAGAACAGATCAGCATAATAAATTAACAGTAATCCGTATGACACAATGAGACAGAAAGAGAGACGGAGAGAGAGACAGAGAGAGAGAGACAGAGAGAAATGCAGGACAGACGGTAACGGCAATAGCTTACAACAACATTAATGAAAGTAGTAATATTATAATTATAATTCTGTTGTGGTACAATATGTTGAAAGAATATATTAATATCTGATAGTATACATATGTGACAATAATCATATGTGTACAATAACAGTAGCAGTATGACTAGGGTTGGGACATTATATTCATTATACTTGCTATACTTAAACAAGTATATAATAAACACAAATGCAATCATACAAATACAAAAACTTTATTCTAACTGTTGCACAGTACAATTAGATGAAAATACACATTTGTGTGTGGTGTGTATTTCAGATTTAGAGCTTGTATCATCTCCCTGAGAGTCTATAACAACAAAAAGTGATTCTCTGATTTCTGCAGTAACACTGTTACCTCAAATTAGCAGTCCTCCTATTCTTTGTATCACCGTTTACAGGCCACCCCATCATCCTACCTCTTTTATCAGTGAATTCTCTGAACTATTATTAATCATACACACCACCTACAATAGAATTTTAATAACTGGTGATTTTAATTTGCATATAGATAACATCTCTGATACTATGTCCAGAGAATTTTTAAACCTTTTAACCTGCATGGATTTTAAACAACACGTCACACAGCCAACTCACAACAGAGGACACACCCTGGACCTGGTCATAACCTATGGCCTGTCCACTGGTGTGTCCTCTGTTGTTGACCTGGCTGTGTCTGACCACTATTGTGTGTATTTTAACATCACCAGTTTTAGCCATCAGGAGGCCCCGGTGAGAACTGTGAGGAAATTCTACCTAACTTCTGAAGTGGCTGCAAATTTTATCGAGATTTTACAGAGCACTCCTGCTGAAATTTTACCTGCAACTTGTGATGTTATTGTGGACAATTTTAACAGTAAATTAAGGTCAACACTTGACTCAGTGGCTCCACATTTAACAAAAACCATAAAAACAAAACCTACACCCCTGTGGAGAAATGATAATATCAAAAAATTGAACAGAAAATGCAGGAGTTCAGAGAGGAGGTGGAGAAAAACTAAACTGACTATTCATTATGAAATATTACGTGAACAACTCAAAACCTACAATAATACAACCAAACAGGCATGAATATCCCACTTTTCAAAACTCATCACAGATAATAAAAACAACCAGAAATTCCTTTTCTCCACCTTTGATTTTTTTAACCAACACCAATTTTAATAAATCATCCAAGATGCCAACAGCTGCTAGGACTTTGCAGACCACTTCAGAATTAAAATCGAGGATATCAGATCCAGTCTTTTATCTCAACAGAACTTTTAACACACCTGAACAGTTGCTTTTATCCGAGGAAACACTGGAGAGTTTTGCCCTGGTTGATGCAAGGACATTTGGTCGGGTTTTTTCCCAGGTAAACCCAGCAACCTGCCTTTGAGATCCGATTCCCACATTACTTTTAAAACCATTTTATGGATTCTTTGATTTTAAACATAGTAAATTACTCTCTTCAGACGGGTGTCTTCCCCGCTGCCTTCAAAACGGCAGTGGTAAAGCCCCTTCAGAAGAAGAGTAATTTAGATCCCAACATTTTTAATAATTACCGACCTGTATCCAACTTAAGATTTTAGAAAAACTGGTTTTTAACTAAGTAAATGATTTTTTAAATAGAAACAATATTATAGAGAAATATCAATCTGGATTTAGGATGAATCACAGTACCAAGACAGCCCTTTTAAAGATTTTAAATGACATCAGGTTTAATGGTGATTCACAAAAACTCACAGTCTTGGTACTACTGCATCTAAGCGCTGCTTTTGATAACAGTAGATCACCACATTTTATTATACAGACTCAGAAACTTGGTTGGCCTCTCTGGTACTGTTTTTAACTGGTTCAGCTCTTATCTCGCAGATCGATGTTTCTTTGCAAGTATGGATACGTGTTCCTACAGAACACATTAAATTAGGTGTGGGGTGCCCCAAGGGTCAATTTTAGGTCCAATTCTTTTTAATCTATATATGCTTCCCCTTGGGGACGTCATCAGGAGGCACGGCATCAGCTTCCACAGTTACGCAGATGATACACAGCTGTACATGGCGTGTCTCCTGATGACACAGGGCCAATTGGTACCCTTTTTAACTGTATTTTAGATATCAAGTCATGGATGGCAGTGAATTTCCTACAGCTCAACCAGAGCCAAAAGAGAGGGGCATCATTTTTGACTCTGAGCTTAGTTTTATTCCACACATCAAAAATGTAGCAAAGACAGATTTTTATCATCTCAAGAATATAGCCAGAGTCTGCCCGTTTCTCTCTCAGGCTAACGCGGAGGTGCTGATACATGCTTTTATCTCTTGCCGTTTAGACTATTGTAATGCCCTGCTCTCTGGTCTTCCCAAAAAGACCATCTCTAATCTTCATTTACTTCAAAACTCAGCCACACGTGTGCTGACGATGACCAGAGGGTGGGCGCACATTACTTCTTTTTTAAAATTGCTGCATTGGCTCCCCGTGTGTTTCAGGATTGATTTTAATGTTCTTTTATTAGTTTTTAAATGTCTTAACTGTCTTGGGCCATCTTATTTATCTGACCTGCTTTTATCATATCAACCCTGGCGGACCCTGAGGTCCTCCGGCACCGGCCTTTTAATCATTCCAAGAGTTAGAACTCAAACCCACGGGGAGGCTGCATTCAGCCATTATGGCCCTCACTTATGGAACAGCCTGCCAGAGAGCATCAGGACTGCAGAGACTGTTGATGTTTTTAAAAGGAGGCTCAAGACTCACCTTTTTAATTTGGCTTTTAACTGATTTCTTCTACACTTTTTATTATATTTTATTTTATATTTGATTTCATTTATTTATTTATTTTTATTTATGTTTTAATGTCTAATGTTCTTAATGATCTACTTTTATATCCTTATGCATTTTATCATTTTTAATTTTTAACTCTTTATTTTTTTAAATTTTTAAATCTCTAAATTTTCTAAATCTTTAAATTTTTTATGCATTTTATCATTATTCTATCTTATGCTTGTTTTTATCCCATTGTCTTTTAGTCTTTTAGTTTTTAGCTCCAGTTTTATCTCATGGGGGGCTTCCACACTGAGAGGCGTGTCAGGTCTGCCCACGGGGACGTCGTCCTGGAGATCCCTCGGGCCCGGAGGACTGGGGGGCTCTGCACCATGTGTGGAGTCCACCCCGGTCTATCTGGGTTGGGGTGGTCTCTGTGGCGTCGCTCCCTGTGGCTGTCGGCTGTGGTGCCTCTTGGTGTGGATGGCTCCCCATAGGTGGTTTTTCCTCACCTGGTGCCTCAGTGTGTGTGTGTGTGTGTGTGTGTGTGTGTGTTACATGCGGGGGGTGGGTGGGGCGGGTTTTCATTGTTTTTTGTATTTTTTATCTTGTGAGGCACTTTTTTATGTATGAAAAGTGCTATATAAATAAAGTTTGATTTGATTTGATTTGACTAGGCTGGTCGGTGGCTTTTACTCGCTCCACCACCTCGCAGGTGGGAGAAGCCACCAGGAGGGAAGCGAGAAGAATGGTGTCAGAGTCTGCGGTGGAGTCATTTTCCCCATGAACTGGGCAGGGCATCAGGCTTGACATTGCGGGAGCCAGGCTGATAGGAGAGGGAAAAGAAGAGTGACCACCTGGCTTGACGGGAGTTCAGCCTCTTAGCCAAACAGATGTACTCCAGGTTCTTGTGATCGGTCCAGACGAGGAAGGGGGTCTTGGTTCCCTCCAACCAATGGCGCCATTCCTCTAGTGCCAGCTTCACTGCCAACAGCTCCCAGTTCCCAATACCATAATTTCTTTCAAACGGAGACAGACATTGGGAGAAAAAGGCATAGGGGTGCAGTTTCTGGTTATGAGCGGAGCGCTGAGGCAAGACGGTTCAATAAATAAAATAATAAAATAAAAATATGACAGCATAATTCACTGATGTGTGAGTTGGTGTTTAAGTTTGGCAGTGTGATTGTTTCTGCAACCCTACACCCACATGTTAATCCCAAACCAGCTCATTTCATGACTGGCATTTGTGTATTTGGTCCTCATAGTGACACAAACACATAATGAGCCCAGTTCGCTCATGTCTTGTCTGTCACTGTCTCCCCTATTTCCTGGCATGACACCAGGTTGCTGCGTAGCTGTTTCTCTCTTTCTGTCTTTCTGCAGTTGTAGACGGCTGAATTGACAGGATTGAGAGAGCAAGTCTCTCTGCTCCAGGTTTTCTTTGTACCCAGACTGTGGCAGGAGAAAGAAGATGCATTTGCAGGATGGATTAGAGTTCATAGAAATGGATCTTCCTCTGTTGTTTGCTTTGGCTGACAAGCCTGGCATACACCTCAAAATCTTTCTTTTTGTATTCCTTCCTCCTGTCGTTCTCTCTATCCATCCGGTCCCCAGGCTGGTCTTGTGTCTACAGTTGAGCAGGCAACTGACAGCACGGTGACAAGTGTTGAGGATGAGAGGCGGTGGAGAGAGGGAAGGAGGAAGAGAGACTAATGAGAGGGACAGCAACAGCAGGGGTCTGTCACTGCACATCCAGATAACAGCCCCCCGACTCTCTTTGATATCTTGTCCCAAGTGACCAGGCCGCTCCATCTCCAGCTTGTACCAGTGAGGTGGGGGCAGGGGTGCTTATTAGCCACTCATGCTTTTTTTTTTCTTTTATCCTTTGTGCACTTGTAAAGGGAAGAGGAGGAGGAGGAGGAGGACTAGCAGAGGCGGGTGGAGTCAGACCTCACATGGATCAAAAAGCCAAAAGCATAACTGAAAGAAGATCCAATTATGAGAAACTTTATTTTCTGGAAGGCAGGTGGACATTGTATCATTGTATAAAAAACTAAAGTTGTCTTTCCCGTGATTATTATTTTTTTTTTTTTTTTTTTTCTCATAAATTGTAGCATGCAAAGCAGTGCTTTCAAAGTTGCTTCCCTAACACTGCACATCGGGCTGGTGGCCAGAAACAGTGCCCAGTCTAACCTGTGTAACAGCAGCAACAGAAAGTTTGCTGATCTTGAAGGAAGATGGGGCCACCCAGTTCCCAGCAGCTGGGGTTTGCACTAGCTGGATTTAGGCACTGCAGCTGCTGACTGGGGGTCAGTCTCCAGAGCTGCTGCTCACTCTCCTCCTAGATGGAAGAAACAGTGATTGAGGATCCTGCTAATGTTAGCTACATAAATTTGATGAACATGAAGCTGCAGTCATGAATCTTTATCTCCAGTTGGCAGAAAGCTACACTATTAGCAACATTTCTCTGAAACATGTTGCCGATAGTGACACGTTTTATTTGGTTTATTGTCAGACTCTGTTTTAGATTCTCTTTTTGATAAGTGTGTTTTCTTTTTTTTTGGTTGCTTTGCAGTGTAAGCAGTTTTCAGTGCTGGAAAAGCAACTTTTTCTGTCGCATTCTTCAACATTGAATCAGGCTCTCACCATCTGAAGGGGCGTGCACACACATCTTCACTTGTAGAACAGCTAATAGGAACACCCTCTTTCTCGCAAATGACCTGTGATTAGCCAAAGTCTCCTGTCACTGGCTAGATTTTCTACAGTCTGAAAACAGAGCCAAGAGGAGGTGCACAAGTCTAGATTCCTCTCAGACCACTTGAATTACAACATGATCATGTTTGTTATGGGATTTTTGCCCAGTGAGAATTAACCTGCCTGTTCCAGCTTTAATATTACACAGATTTTTGCATCATATTCAATGTCAGATTTACATCACAACTCTATATTGATTATTTAATATTACATTACATTACTTAATCATATCATCAGTCAGGTGTTCATTGTTAACAGACTTGATGACAAGCTGTTACTTTAATAGTACGTGTTTTGTCTCCATATGCTCTTGTATAGTTTCTTTTTTCTTCTATTCTTATTTTAGTTTTTATATATATTTTTTATTTATTTATTGTTCTTTTTTTTATCTGTACTATTGCAGTCTTTGTGCTGCTGCAACAACCAAATGTCCCCTCTGAGGGTCAATAAAAGGTGATCGCATCTTAACACTTAACAGAGTCTTGCAGAGCCCTGACTGTCTCAGTTGGTGGAAGCGGCACTATTGGTGCCTGTGTGTCCATGTCTTCTCCAGAGCAGTGTGACGTGTGAACAGTAAATGGAACCTCCATGGATTTCATGCAAGACAGGTCCCTGACTGAAATCCCAGTCATCTCTTGAGAATCTATTTAAGGATGACATTTTTTAGTCAGTACAGAAAACTCAGATCTAAATCTTAATCCTCTTTTTTCCACTTTGTCCAGATAAAACATAACAACTGCTGTTTTTATGAAAAAGTTCTCCTTTGTAGATCACAAAACCTGGTTTTAAAAACTAAGGCACTGTGAAGTAAAAGCAGTAAATATCTATAAATAAAAACTTTAAGAGCAACAAATGGTATTTCAGTTCAGAATCCAGGTGTTCGCTGTCAGTTGTGCTCAACAGAAACCTCAAACTCCTACAGACTTTGGTCTGCACACGTGACTGATTATATGTGCAATACAAAAGTCAGTGGGGATGGGCTCTAAAGACAATTCTTACTATGATAATGGACATAATCAAAACAGCATACTCAACTCGTTGATGTTCATCATCATTTAAAGTGTAGATTTTGATATTAACTTCCAGTCAGAGGTGTGAACTTTTATATCCATTCTTTCTCAGAAGCCTGAGCTTTGATTTGGTCCTCCCAGCAGGTATAAGGCCGACTGAGGTGGCTTTAGAGCATGAGTCACACCCTGTAGAGAACACAACAACAGTATTGATCATTATGGAAGCCTTCATGCAGGGCCGGCCCTGGACATCTGGGGCCCCTAAGCAGGATAAGTTTCAGGTGCCCTACTTTGCCATGAATACACAGCTAAGGATTCACAAACCCAGATACCGTATGGTATTATAAACCTTATGCATGAAATTTCTACCTCTATCAACATGATGGGCCATAGTTTACTGCTAACTGAGCACACTCAGTGAAACATATAAAGCTAACTAAATGCACTTGCCTTTTTTACCGTTACTATCTGTCTGCATGCTGCTTAGTGTTGAACATTTTAAAATGGCATTAACTCTGCTTGCCCACTAGATGACTCCAAAACTAAAGTATGACATAAAATATCTTATGCCCATCTAACGGAAGAAAAAGAAATGCAACAAAAGATTATAGTAAGATTTTATATTTATTCTCTAAATTATAATTTGTAACAAGCAATGTAAGGTGGAAAACAACTTAAATGCTGAAAAGAATCCTTACAACAAAACTTCAAATTCTAAACTATTCTAACCAGTAACAAATAAATAGGACTAATATACACATTCAAATCCAAACAAAATGAGCAAGGTAAAAACTGCAATAAATAAGAAAAAAAATTTCTTGCTCCTTCTTAGTACTAAAATAGTACCGCGGTACTAGAGTATTCCAAACAGTACTATACTGCATTTGAAAAATACCGGTACTTTGAAATTGATTCAATTCATTAATTTAGTTAATTTATTTTACTCATTTATGCACACAAACGCCTTTCTTGTTCCTATTGGAGCACAGATTGCACAAGTGGTGTGTATGACAACACCTGTATCAACATTCGCAGCAGGTGCACGTGAAAAAAGACAAGAGAAAGTCTGCCTCGCAAAGGGAGACAACACGAGATAACACCGACTTGGTGGAACATTTGAGTTACCAAATCGTGACGTCCGTACCGAGGTACTAACCGAACCATGATTTTTTTGGTACCGTTACACCCCTACTATTTATTGTTCTAAAGGTTTGTATCCAAAAGGACTTTTCCTTAGGAAAAGTACCAAAGAGTATTGAAAAGTATCGAAATTCATATTGGTATTGGTACCGAAACAAAGATTTTGGTATCGTGACAGCACTACTCCTTCTGAAAAAAGTGATATATTAATTACTTTATTTATTTATTTCAATAACAATTGCTGTAAACGGAAAATAATACTAAAAGAGAATTTATGTAGGGGCATATTATTTTCCAGTACAGCTTTAGTTTAGTATGATTTGTTTAATCCTTTCATACTGTTCATATTCTGACCTTCACAGTATGGAGCAGGTACTTTTTGACCCTTTATTATTAGACACTATCAAGAAATATCAACCATGGATATGTTGTGCATCCCGACCAACGCTACTTTTAATTTTTTCCATGAATTATATTGAAAGTGAAGGATGTAACAGCCTTGCTGGATGATAGGTTTCACCATAATCATTTGAAACTCTACACTGTGTGAGTGCATTAGACAAACAACACACTGGTCTGTAAATTTCACACTGCAAAAGCACATTTTGGACATACTAACCTAATCACCCATTCTGGTAAGTGACGAACGTTGCTTTACTTGACTTTACTTTAAAGGGATAGTGCACCCAAAAATGAAAATTCAGCCATTATCTACTCACCCGTACGCTGAGGGAGGCCCAGGTGAAGTTTTAGAGTTCTCACATCACTTGCAGAGATCCCAGGGGAGAGGAGGTAGCAACACAGCTCCACCTAATGGAGACTTACGGCACCCCAGATTCAAACGTCCAAAAACACATAATTGAAACCACAAAATATCTCCATACTGTTCGTCCATAGTGATCCAAGTGTCCTGAAGTCCTGACATAAAAAACATCATTTGAACTCTGTTTTTAGACTCATTGTAGCCTGTAGCTCTAACTGCTTCTCTGTGGCGGTGAGACATGGGCACCGCATTCATGTGCTTTTGCTGGTCTCGCACGCAAGTGCGCACATGTGAGCACGGTGCACAGAGAAGCAGTCAGAGCTACAGGCTACAGTGGACGTTTGAATCTGGGGCGCCGTAAGCCTCCATTAGGTGGAGTTGTGTTGCTAACCCCTCGCCCCTTGGATCTCTGAAAGTGTTGTGAAGACTCTAAAACTTCACCTGAGCCTCCCTCGGCATATGGGTGAGTAGATAATGGCTGAATTTTCATTTTTGGGTGCACTATCCCTTTAAGCTTGTTTGTTTTTCGTCCTCTGCTCTGCTCCTGAGGGATATGCCCACTTCGACATCTTCGTAGACGGTACTCCGCATGCTCCGTTCAGTGAACAGCACCTGTCCCCTGGTCTGTAGGGTCCCCGCCCTGCTACAGGTCATGTTATGTATCTTGACGGGGTCATCCCTATATTCCCCGGTTTCTATGTTCCCCGCTTTCCCCAAAAGGAAATATGTTCTCCGCTTTGTATGGGACCAGGGAACATAGAACCCTTTTTAAGAAAAAGGGTTCTATGTTCCCTGCTGTTCCTATGTTCCCCAGCAACAGCAGGGTTCTATGTTCCCTGCTGTTGCTGGGGAACATAGGACCCTTTTGAGAAAAAGGGGTTAGGGTTAGGGGTTAGGGGTTAGGACCCTTTTTTTAAAAAAAGGGCCTATGTTCCCCGGGTCCTTTTGGGGAAAAGTGGGGAACATAGAACCCTTATTATTAATAAGGGTTCTATAGATCATAGAACCCTTATTATTAATAAGGGTTCTATGTTCCCCGCTCCCATACAAAGCGGGGAACATAGGACCGTTTTGGGGTCCCATACAAAGCGGGGAACATAGGACCCGGGGAACATAGAACCCGGGGAATATAGGGATGACCCCGTTGACCATTGATGCTGACTCAATAGTCATCGTTGCCAGTTTTTTTGGATCAAACAAACATGAAAATCCTCACATGCCGCCCCTATGAACAAGTAGGCTGCAGTCAATTGTAAATAATGGGGTTGCCAGGTTTGCGCAGAGGTGTGAGAGTCAGACAATTAATTTTACCGTGCATCCATCTGGGGGCCCGCTGGGGGCCGTAAGCAGCCGCTTAAAGGGATAGTGCACCCAAAAATGATCCATTATCTTCTCACCCTCATGCAGAGGAAGGCTCTGGAGAAGTTTTAGAGTCCTCACATCCCTTGCGGAGATCGGCGGGGGGAGCGGCTAGCTCACCTAATGGCTGACTAACGTCCAAGAACACAAAATTGAATCCACAAAATATCTCCATACTGCTCATCCGAAGTGATCCAAGTGTCCTGAAGCCCCGACATAAAAAGTTGTTTGGAAAAACGTCATTTGAACTCTGTTTTTAGCCTCACTGTAGCCTGTAGCTCTGACTGCTTCTCTGTGCTCCGCGCTCACGTGTGCACGCTTGTGCGAGACCAGTGAAAGCATGAGCTTTGCTTACCCGTGTTTACATCACGTGACACGTGCACCGCCGGGAGAGACAACAGTAACCACAGCAGCTAAAAGTTAATTTGCACTACGATCTTTTAGCAAAGGACAGCCCAACATGTCTGAAGACTCTGAAACTGAGGAGGAACAGCATTTCTTTGTTGAGCCGTATTTGTTTGAGCCCGAGTATATGGACGCGGAACTCAGGCTACTGGACGAAGCAGCTGCCGCAGCTCATAAGCCTCAGCCAGCCGCAGAATACCGGAGTCGAGCACTGGAAACCTGGTGGTGTAGTTGTTTCAAATGCAAAGCAATGCCAACGGATGAGGAAAGTCTTTGCTGCTCAGACTGGGAATTGGCGATGCCTGCACTTGAGAATCTGGACATCAGTACTGACGAGACTGCTGCTCTTCAGAGACCGTGCATCACCGATCACCCTGAGCGCACACACGTGAGCGCGGAGCACAGAGAAGCAGTCAGAGCTACAGGCTACAGTGAGGCTAAAAACAGAGTTCAAATGACGTTTTCCGAAACAACTTTTTATGTCAGGGCTTCAGGACACTTGGATCACTACGGATGAGCATGTTGGAGATATTTTGTGGTTTCAATTTTGTGTTCTTGGACGTTAGTCTGGGGCGTCGTCAGCCATTAGGTGTGCTAGCTGCTCCCCCCGCCGATCTCGGCAAGGGATGTGAGGACTCTAAAACTTCACCAGAGCCTTCCTCAGCATGAGGGTGAGTAGATAATGGCTGAATTTTCATTTTTGGGAGCACTATCCCTTTAATACGCTTAGGGCCGGTTCTGCCTTCATGTGCTTGTTTTTTTGTGTCAGCACATGCCAAAGTCAGCTATAGTCATTCTTTTGTGTGTTTTGCATTAAATTGATTGGTGAAAGTGAAAGAAAGAACTGGTTGTGTGCTCTTTCTAGTCAGCCCTGGAAGGTTTTTGAGTCAGAGTCAGCCGCTCACCCCACTGAGGGAAGCAGGTAAAACAGATTTTTGTTCTATTTTAAACTCTCAATGCTCGATAGATGTGCAGACTCTGCCTGGAGTCTGCTGGGGCGGTTGTGTTCTTCATATGCGTGTCCTACATGTTCTGAGCTATATTGACTTTTATATCATATATAACATATAATAAAAGTGGTAAATTATGATGGTTTATGTGTACTTTGACCGACTGGCAGCTGTTAGGATGGAATTTTTTGTCATGATAGAAATTCTTTGATATCTTAAAGAGTAAGGCCCTGATCACACAGAAAGTGTTTTAGCAGCTGGAGATGCCTTTTTGTAATTTTTCTTAATGAGAATGAAGTGTTTTGTGTTGCGACATGCCTCGCGTTTCTGCGCTCTCGGTGCCTGGTGTTTTTGCCCCAGCACTCTGAACTCCTCTAGTTGAAAAAACTTAAAGCAGAACAGCACCCCGCATCATCATCTTTTTTCCCATTGTCCAGTCGCATGATTTGAGAGGCGGGCCTTCTGTGGTGGTCACAACAACAAGTTTACAATAGGTATGCAATGGAGGAGAAATTGTTGGTCGTGGTTGGATACTCAGAGCTATACGGCTCGATGATAGACAGCAAGTT